AGGGGTAGGGGTAGGCATCAAAAGTGATTTTGGTTATGGTTTCTTTTGGCAAGTGCCACCACTTGGGTTACCTCGAAGCACCTTCGCCTTTTATAGGGGGAGGGGGGAGGGGAGGGGAGGAGTGAATACAAAGAATGCTTAGACTTTTGAATTAAAACCTGCAAATTCCCTTGCCGATAGTCTTTGTTGCAGCCCCACACAGTCCATGAGATAGTACGACGGGGTCAGTGATGTTACTTGATGTTTGTTAGTTGTGAACAGCTAAAAGAAAATGACTAACATTGTTGCGGGAATGTAAAAATTTGAGGAATAAAAGAAGTGAGGAGAGAGGATGAGGGTAGTTTAAGGAGCCCTTGAAGATTAATTTTAAATGGGGTTTGTTATTGGATTCTAGAGAATTGGTTTTTTTTTTTTTTGTTTTTAATAGCAGAAATGCGTTTTTTCAGGTTTTGAAAAGGTATAATGGGGACATTGGTGAAGGCCAGTCAAGCAGCCACCAAAAAGGTAATACTTTGGTCTTTGATCGGTTAGTTATTCAGCACAGCTGCGCCTAGCATGTGAGAGCATCCCAGTAATATCACTAACATAGAATACTCACACTAATGTTCCAATGGTCTTGGTATTCTTGGTAATTTTCTGGCGTAATTCAGGTTTGTGGCAGTCAACCAACAGCATTTATTCCACTTCCGATTCCAGTAAAACATAAAAAGCTTATTCCAATAACACCACCAACAGCGGCAGCAGTGTCATCGGGCAGCAATCGTTTTATAAATAGTATTTCCACTGGTCACATGTTCTGCACAATGTCAGTTAAAGGAGTTACAAGTGAGTGCTGTTTCATTCCTTCTGGTTTGTGTCTTTTTTTAAATTTTGAAAAAATTTTGGGCAAGGAACGATCCTGTCAGCTGAGAAGGGAATGTATCAGAGTGCATTACTTGTGATTTGAAATATTTCAAATATCTCATAATTCATAGTTTGAATCTCCATTAGTTCTATAGCCCTTAACAAGTTCTCAAGCCTATGCTTTCTCCATCCAAACAACTCCATACATTCGAATTAGGGAATTGTCTCGGCCTACCGGTGACTCTCTGATGCAGCATACTTCTAATTCGAAAGTTTAAAGCCTTGATAACTTGAAAGGAAGGGAGACGAGAAGGAAGGGGGGGGGAGGGTAGGGGACTGCGGGTATAATCAAAATTCATCGATGTGGAGCTCGTTCCGATGTGAAGTTTGCTTTGGCAGTTGCAGAATTGGGCTGAAAATTGCGAAAATA